CGCGAGGAGCCTGGACCGGGCCCTGGAGGAGGCGGGCAGCTCCGGCATCCTGAGCCTCAGTGGCAGGAAACTCCGAGACTTCCCGGGCAGCGGCTACGACCTGACGGACACCACCCAAGCAGGTGACAGGACGGGACTGCGGGGCGGCGAGGAGAGCGGGGCTCGGCGCGAGGAGGTGGGGAGAATGGGTGGCTGCGTGGCTGCGTTGTTGGACTCTGCTGGTCTGGGCGGGTGCACGGGGAGGCGATACTGACACAGTCGGAGCAGCTTGTGAATGTGGGGGGCAGAGAAGGGAATAGGGGAGGGGGGAATGCCTGTGTCATTTGAAATGTTCTACACTTTAAAAACACTGCTAAAATGTCCTAACAGCTACTGTGGTGTGTAATTACTTGATTGTAAAGTAATAGCACGGAATGGCTCTCTCCTATATGAATTCAGCATTCCCTGGTAAGGGGTGGGGAGGGAGGTATTGACACCTTAATGCACTTCTTCCAACTCTCCTGGATGTTCCCATCTTTCCAGGAGTGGGGGAGAAGAGACAATACATAAAATCATAATCTGTACATGTTCCTTAAAGGCATACGTGCCTGCAAGAATGGTATATCCCTTTTCCTAGTACAGCAGCAGTATTGCCACGGTTTTTGTGTTCTTATTTTGTGTTTTGTTGGTCTTAGAATATGCTTGCCTTCTTGTCACGTATACCTTAAAGACCGACATTTTTCATTTTTCCTGGAGGTGAGAAGGTAATGGTGCTTAAATTAGTATTTGCTGCAAATTAAATCATTAATCACATGTCTAGTTACCAGGAGCAAAAATCCCTGTTTCATGTTAGTCTTAATTTTTATAGCAGAAATAGCCAAAAATTTTAAGGGCATTTTTGAGAAACAATGAACTCCATTCTTTATGGAGTTGTGGGTTAATGGCTTATCGTTTTAGATGAAAAATTGGCTATTGTAATGTTCTTCATATACTTACTCTCTGGTACTCTTTGTTGTGGATTGCATTTTTTGTTATGAATGCACTCTCTTTCCCCTTTCCCTTATAAACCAATGCTGAATATTTTAGGTGTGTTTGGATGTAATGAAAGGGTTTTTTGCTTTTCATAATCTTTAAATTTGTTATTTATGTCTTTTTTCATCTGCTTTGCTGAAAGAGATCATGGACAAAATTACTTTAATAGTGTAGCAATTTTGCAACAATGTAGTAAGTAAATGCACCCATAATGAGAAGTAATAAATGGCTTCTTATTTTCATAACAAGATTTCAGTGTATTCAGTCTCTGGCTGTTAAATCAAAGTGTGTTTGGAGAAAGGTGGGGAGAGGAGGACAACCTAAAACTGAATTATCCCACCCAATTATTCTTTTAGGAATTACCCTAAGAACTATAAATGTGTAATTGATCACCGTTTCTTTATTTTGGAAAGCATGTTTGAGTATTTCCTCCTTCACTCTGAACAGATTTCCTAAACAGTATGTTCACATATTCATGAATACATTGGCAAGATATCATACTACTTGGTATGTTCTTCAAAGGCTTCAAGATAAATGGTTTCAAACTGTCATTATTGGGATATATTGTTTTTCTTTTATAACCTATAAAGGATCTCTCTGTATGTATAAGTTTAAGCATCTTAGCTTGGCATTCAGGGCTTTCTTTTACTGTCTGGCTCCAATTTACTATTGCAACTTTACCTCCCCCAAAGCTCCTACATAAAACCCTCTGTTCCAACTAGGTTAACTCCCTGCCCCTCAAATATTTCTGCCTCATCTTTGTACAAGGTCATCCACATGCTTGGGATTTACTTCCTTTCTCCACCTATTTAATTTTGTTCAAGGCCCAGCTTTTCCAAGAAACTGTCTCCAACTCCCTTAGTACACAGCAGTCTCCTGTTATGTTTGTATCTTGCTGTCTCTGAGGAGATGATGAGCTCTTTAAAGGTAGGGAGTAAGTCATATACTTGGTTAGTCTTGTCATTATATATTGCTTTATGTTGTACTTGATAATATTTTTCATAAATACGAATATCGTGTGGTTATAATTGTTGGCGTTTAAGCCCTTCAGTTGGTTTTCTGAGGCAGGCATTAACAGAAACCAGAACCATATTTGTTCTTGGTAAAGCATTCATTTATCATGAACTTTATCAGGGTCTAGAGCAGTGGTTCTCAACCTTCCTAATGCCGCGACCCTTTAATACAGTTCCTCATGTTGTGGTGACCCCCAATTTCATTGTTACAAATTGAACATAATTAAAGCATAGTGATTAATCACAAAAACAGTATGTAGTTATATATGTGTTTTCTGATGGTCTTAGGCAACACCTGTGAAAAGGTCGTTGGACCCCCAAAGGGGTCGCGACCCACAGGTTGAGAACCGCTGGTCTAGAGTAACACAGGACTTTTTGAGATAATTCTACTTCATTTTACTTTTTTTTCAGGTGAATGTATGTTCCTTGTGGGAACACTTCAGAATTTAGATGAGAAATCTGTGAATGACTCATTTGCCATCTTTTAGATAAAATTCAGCCATGAACTATTTAGGGGCAGTAAGGAGATTAGTATGTGTTATATATAACTGAAAGGTGAAAGTAGGTATAGTGGAGCTGAAGAAAAATAGAGCATGTTTGAGATTTTACATACGTACGCACGCATATACACACAAACACATATACATAGATGCATTGAATATCCTTTGTTTGATTAGCAGTTGTTTGTTGATATTGCTATAATTAAAATGACTCTCAGTGGGATAATGGTTCAGAACCAAACTGCTTAGACTACCATATAATGGTTTATTGGATTGGGAAGAGCCTGGAAAAAGGAAAAATAGGAAGCTATTCTGTTAATCTAGGTGTGAGATGGTGAGAATCTGGGTTAAAACAAAATTAGATAAGAAGAGTAAATTGATAAATTTTCAAAGGAAGCCGGGAAGGCTTTTTGCATTATTTTGCTGTTCCTTACATTTACATAAGATGAAATAGGCCAGTGGTTCTCCACCTAGGCTGCACATTAAAACCACAAGGGAGTGTTTTTCTTAAACAAAACAAAACAATCCCTGGGCCCCACCCCAAACCAATTAAATCAGAATCTCAGGGGCCAAGAGACTTTTAGAAAAAGTCTTCCTAGTGCTTCTAATTTGCAATCAAATAACTCTAAATAGCTTACTTTTTAAGGCACTCAAGAAACATTTATTGTTTGAATGACTGAGAACTGATTAAAGTTTACTGACAAACCTACAGCCATTAGTTAAGAGGGTCAAAATCCAAAGTAGTAACTAAGTGTTTAAGAAGTTCCAAATATTCTTTTAAATTGACTTGTGTGAATCCGAGACTCATTTTTAAAAAATCATATGATGTCTGTAGTGAATAAAAACTTCCCAGGAAGCTATAGTTTCTTCAGTTCCCATACATTACGCTGGTTTATATTTAATACTGTTTGGTAAATTTGCATTAAGAAAATCGTGCCCCCAAAATATGTAGCAGCAAAATCTTGTTTTCTCTATTAAAAGAGTCTTGCTATGAGGGAAAATGGACAGTAGGAAGCAGTTGGCCAAGTTGATCTTTTGTCTTTTTACCTCTCTACATTTCTGGTACTTGTTTCCCTTCACCTGCCCTCTCCCTCCTGCTGCCTTTCTTGTTTCCTTTCCCCTCTTCAGCTTCACTCTGCTTCCTTTCCTGGGTTGGAGCTCAAAGCCAACTAATTATTGCAGCCCTTCCAGGAGATTAACATGTAAAAGAAGAGTTTGCTAATTTACTTGAGTCTCCAATTGATGGTTTGTGCTTGTGACCTTTTTGAAAAGATCTGCCTGCCTGACACGTTTTGATTAAAATCATCACCCCTATAAAGACATAAAAACAGGCATCAGTAAGTTGATAACTCATTTTAGGAAAGTAGCTGACTCCTTGTAATGTCCCATCTTTGATGACCTATAGGTAGGCTTGGCAAGACAAAGGGAAATTGCCTAGAACTTTTTCGTCTGTCTGGATACTGTGATAATCTGTTGGCTTTAAGAGAACTTGATAATGATTTTAGTGGCTACCCTAAGTCATATTTGACTTTGTCACCCATGCTACAAATAAGTCTGAGCCTACTTGCTTTTTCATACCTCTTTATATCCATAAACAATAGGTCTGTGAAACAGATTTATGAATTCTTACATACATCTGATTGTGCTGTGTCCTGATTAATCACACGTTTTCCTGTAAACCAAGAGTCAACTCTAGTATTTCCTACATGTGCTGGTTCACCTCTTCAACTGTGGGGCATGGTGCATTGTATGAGGTTGTAAAATGGAGCCAGATAAACTTTGCAGCATCTGATTTTTTAAAAAATGGACTATTATTTTTTTTTTAGAGAAGTTTTATGTTCACAGCAAGATTGAGCAGAAAGTACGAGTTTCTACACATGCATAGCTTTCCCCATTATCAAATCCCCCACCACATGGACACATTTGTTATAATTTATGAACCCACATTGACACATCATTATCACCCAAAGTCCCTGGTTTACATTAGGGCTCACTCTTGGTGTTGGACATTTTGTGGGTTTGAACAAATATATAATAACATGTATTCGCCATTAAGTGTTGTATGGAAGAGTTTAACTGCCCTCAAAACCCTCTGAGCTTTTCCTGTTTATCCCACCTCCACTCCCCCCGACCCACCCCCATCCCCGCCCAATTCCTGGCAACCACTCATCTTTTTATTTTGCAACATTTGATTTTGTTACATAGGTGAAGGCCCTCTCAGTGCATTCAGTGGAATGAGTTTGTGATTTTGTGGCCTGATTCAAATATCTGTTTTGTTTTATGTAAGAAATGTCTCCCTGAAAAACTGAATGTGAAGCACATTTTTGACAATTGACTCACATTTTAAAAATATATTTTTATTGATTTTAGAGAAGAAGGGAGAGGAAGAGAGAGATAGAAACATCAGTGATGAGAGATAATCATTGATCAGCTGCCTCCTGCACACCCCCCACTGGGGGATCAAGCCCTCAACCGGAGCTTGTGCCTTGACTGGAATCCAACCCGGGACCCTTCCTGCGGGACCCAGTCTGCAGGCTGACGCTCTATCCACTGAGCCAAACTGGCGGGTATTGACTCACATTTTATTTGCTCTATATT